GCAGGAATGGGCGCTCGATCTAATCGACATCCTTAAAGACCTGGCCACCGACTCCAACAAGTACCGGGCTAAGAAGGATCGCAAACAGCAGCGTGCCAGCTTTCGCGACATTTTGCGATATATCGAAGTAAGCTGCAGCCTCACTACTTTCTATTATTCCTTAGCTATATCAAATAATAATAATAATAATAATAACAACAACAACAACAACAACAACAACAACAGTCTTATTATAATAAGACAATAATAGTAATAAGACAATCTTAATGCTTCTTTGAATTTCTTGCTGTAGGAAGATGTCGTTCCCGAGACAAACATCAGATTTGGGAAAGAAACGCTACTCCTCGAGGGCTGGTGCTCGCGCACTCAATATAATGCCTGCTGTCGATTACTTGGTCCAGGAATTAATATACATTTAGCTGAAAATCAATTGCTGCGCGAAATCTTCCACCTTGGCAATCGAGTGATCGCGCCCGTTGGAGTCTCGCAAAAAACTACCAAATTGGAAAGGGTACGGGGCATTCTATTATATGTCTTATCCTTATTGTCACTCGTCGTCGCACATTGTGTGAAAAGGGTGTCGTTGTCGACTATTGTAAACAGCAATATGTTATAAAGTCATTTTTTAATCATCCATTGAGGAAATTCAAAAGAAATTTAGTCATGATATGATTATTCTATGAGTATCCGCGATTTTTTAATATTTACTAGTGCACGCATGACTGAGTTTACCAATTATAACGTCTCATAGCATTTAATTAATGTAAATTTTGACAATCTGTTAGTGTTATTTTTTTCTTTTTGTTTGTTTTTTTTTTGTTTTTTTTTTGTTTTTTTTTTAATTAAGATGACGGGTGTGGGCGGGAGGGGGCATGCAACTCGTAACCGTATTAATAATTTTAAATAAAAATTATTAGTTTTCGAGTTATTAAGGTAATTGAATATTTTTAATAATTTCTTTACAGACTCTAATGAATGCTGCAGCGTTCAAGGCCCGTACAATTCAAAGGAATAAAGTTCGAGATAAGCGTTCGGCTGCTCTGGCAATGTAATGTTCTCTCGGTAATAATTTTCGTCTAATTAAAAAAAATTTTTTTTTTTCTAATTTTTTTTTTTGTCTGAGATGACGCAGTGAAACTGTATAACATTTTATTTATTGAAATATTAAACAAGAAATACGGTCTTGTTAATTTTTATTCTTGATATTCGAAATTTGTTATGATTATTATTATTACCACGATGTTAAATTGTATCTGTTTACAAATGACTGGGGACGAATGGCAACATTTTCGTTTCCTATAAGAAAGAAAGAGAAAAAAAATATCTAGCATTATAATATCAATTTACTACTTTTGTAAACTCAACATACATTTAAACGTGTACATTTAATTGTAAATATATTAAATAAAAAAATGAATCACAATTTTCGATCATTAGATAGGTAAATTACATTTTCTTATGTATTGTCGGAAGTTTTGTTAAATTATTCAGATTGAGCAAATTTATTTTTCTTTTTTAATCAACAAATTGATGTTGATATTTACATTGTTCTGTATTTATTAAGTCTCGAATTCGTGTATGAAATTATCAAATAAAACAATATCAAATACATGTAATACATTCAATAAACAGTAGAAAGTTGTTATTATTTTCCTCTCCGTCATCGTCTATTAAAATGCGTCATAATGTCACGTAATGCAAGCTATACTATCATTAGGATTTACATAATCGTGTTCATTTAAATTTTTAACGACAATTACTTTTTGCAATAATCTCGTATGGCATGTATATTTATGAATATTAAGATAAAATAAAGGAATTGAAAAACATTGGTATAAATTGTTCAACAATTGCTTCATTATGTCGATAAGCCAAACGAAATTAATTTTTAAAAAGAGATTAGAATCATTTTTTTAATTATAGTCTAAAAAAATAATAAAAAAAAGTTGTATTTCATAAACATGAAATACTTTACGAGTAAAACATATTTTTTACACATAAAAGCATTTAAGAAACGCATTAAGTACACATTTGGATTCTAGTAATCAAATTAAGTTAAAATAAAGTTTTAGTAATAGCAGAAAATAATGCCATACAAAAATAAGATTGTTGATGATGATTTTTTTTATACGTACAACCTTATTGTTTGTTTTGCAAATTCTTTTTCAGAAAGCATACGCCATCGGTATCCTAATATTCTTGAAATTTCTTGCTCAGTTTTTTCATAAGTTTTGCAGTTTTCTTTTATCCACTTGCAATGTTCTGGCGACCAGTCACTAACGCTCAACCAATCTGCATCGAATTTCTTCAGAATGACATTACGCCGCACATATAAGAATCGCAACGATTTTGCGGTAGAAACAATTTCTAAAAGTGTGGCGGTTGAAAGCTTGTAGCGGATCATCTGTAGAGAAATTAGACAAGGACTTACTAAAATACTTTAAATTTAGTACTTTAAACTGGATGGTGGTCAGTATAAAGGTAAATACAAGTAAACAGTAATGTTAAGTTTTTATCTTAAATGTAGTTTAACCTTGACATAATCACAGCTGATACATTCATAGTGTCAATTCTGAATACAATTAGAAAATAAATAGTTGCGCAGAGAAAGGCAAGTACATAAACACGCGCACATTAAAATGTTTTTTAAACATTTCATTATTTCTTTGTTAGTAGATAAATAAAAATAATAAATTATAATTGATAAATACACTAGCGGTTAGTCGATTTACAAAATTCAATAACAAACATATATACATGCATGTATTATAAATACATATATAAAATTCTACCAATGTATGAAGATTAGGACACAATTTGCAGAATTTTACAATAGTTTCATCTATTCTCTTGGCAAATACTTTTTCTAAATAATGCACTGTTAATCCTTTTAAGGCATAAACATGTAATGTTCTTCCAAAGTTCATCGCGTGATTTAAAATTGTTGTCCATAATACCTGACAAAAAAATGTAAATGCTAAAATTCATTTAATTTTTATATTAAATAATTCGTATGTAGTATTGCTTAAATACTTGTGTGTTTGGATTATCTAAAACTATACTGTGAAAAGGAATTTCATGTTCATTTATATTTAGTATCACATCTGATTTTTTTCGACTCTCAATTTCAAGATGAATTTTTAATTTTGGATTATTTTGTTTCAATTTCTTCCAGGAGACATTATTGGGCTGAAATAAATTTTTACAATAAAATTATTTATAAATATAAATAAGATAAATTAAATCATTTAAAATATAAACTCATTAAATATATCTCTATATAAATAAAATTCTTTAAAAAACATTCTATTGGTTCTTAGTAATATTTTCGCTTCCGATATATATATATATATATATATATATCCAAGTATACAATGTAGATTATATATTCAAAATATTTAATTGGTTTATAATAACAAACATTTTGAACAATATGAATTTCAGTTGCATTAAGAAGTATAAGAATTAGAGTTACATTCACTTTTTTAAAGTTAACACACAATGTTTATATATTTGTAATAATTTATCCTATAAAGTGTAAATACTGTGATTAACTGTCGAAATAATTATTTGATCCGTTTAGCAATATAAAATGATATTAAGCCTAATGAAAATTCACTATAACTATCATTTTTAATTTAAAACATTAAATGCAGTTCAAATTTGTAATTTATATAAATTAAAAATACCTTTAAAAATGACGTATTTTAAAGTTGTTGGTAATCAATTAATATATGTGAAGGGAAAACCTTTTTTTCATTAATATTTTTATACAGATTCTTACCAAATTCAAGGATAATTCTTTAATGCTGTAATGATTTTGTAGAATATGAAGATGTCGTAATCTTATACAGCCCAACTCTGCAAGCACAGTTTCGCTAAGATTTTGTGGGCTAATAACTAGTGTCTGAAAAAAATTTTTGATTGTATATTAATTTATTTCAAAAGAAAAAAAAATTTATTAACGTAATATTTTTGAAAATTTAAAATTCTATTTTTATGTCTAAAGCAAAATAATTAATTAGTGTATTTTTGAATATTTTAAGAATTATTTTAACTTGAACCATTTCACATGGCTCTAGAAACATTTAATTGAAGAATTAATGGTAAATATTAAGATTAAAATATAAAGACATAAAATATTTACATGTAAGTTTTTAAAAACTGCAAAATGTGTAATAGGACAAGGACATCTAGTTGCATTTATTAATATCAGTTTTGACAAAGTTTGTCTATTACATTTGCAAATTTTATCCATTATATGTATTGCTTCTTCACTATTCATCATGAAGTCTATTAGTTCTAAACATTTCATATTACAGAAGCAACCAATGAGCTTTATAACTGTTTCAAAAAATTTTATTCCAGTTCCATAAAGCGTCATGACATCAGAATTGTTTTTATAAATTCTGTCACGAGGCGAAGTAAGTTTTAATTTGTGAATATGAGTTTTATGTTCCAAAGGTTCGGTATATAATTCTTGTATTTTATAATACCGAAATATCATATTCATAAAATCATAGAAATTATGTGAATTCATCATTGGTTCAAATATCAGAGACCTAATATGCTTCCCGACATTGTTTAAGCAAATTATAATTCTCATGTGATCTACAACATGATGCCAGCCACTATAATAATTATATTTTCGTCTCATTAAAGTCGAATCTGTTACAGTAAATGTGGACCAAACATATGGGAACTTAAAAGCCCAGTACCAGTTTCTACATACAAGAGAAGCATTATATCGTTCTTTCATTGTCAGAAAAGCAAATATTTCTTCAAGAAGAACATCAGGTAAGTGATTCCAGTTGACGCAACTCTTACTTTTTTGTTCGTCATTAGTTTCTTCCTCAATAGTAAGTGCTGAATGACAAAATAATTTTTGTATTACATGCGAATTCAATTGCTTTTGTGGTCACGTATATTTTATTAATATTTACTTTCGTGTGTGTGTGTGTGTGTGTGTGTGTGTGTGCGTGCGTGCGTGTGTGCGCCTGCATGCGCGTGTGCACATATACCTTGAATAATGAAAACAATTTAACTTTTTTAATATATTTGTTACTTGATATTAGTAAAATTTTAAAAATTTACTACAAAATTTAAATTTTTAGTTTGAAAATGTTCCTTATATTTACAGATTTGCTCAAGTTTTAAAATATTTTCTCAATAAAATTCAATGATTTTTCAATAAAAAATACATTATTAAATTTTTTATTGGAAAAATATGTATAGTGAGATTTAATCTTAACTTTTATACAAATAATTTTTTTATTAATAGCAATAATGAACAGACAAATGTCAACACAAAATTTGTATGCGAAGTAACAAATAAATTGAAGAAGACATATAAAAATGTAATAAATAGATAGAAATGGCAATGGAAGAAGTTCGAAATCTTGTTGCGTGACGTAAATCTAATTCCTTTTGGCGAACATTTTTATTCGTTAACCTTTCCGTTGTTAAAACTTAAATGCAACTCACTCTTTAAGACCTTCTCTATTTTCCAAAAATCTCTATTCATTTCCGTGTTAAATCTCTCGTAATTCTATGCATTTAAGCAATCTGCTAGCGGCGGTCAATCTATAATATGTACAATAATTCTAAAAATATATTTTAATGGTTAAGGAGCCGATAACGCAACCTTCTTTACCTTTGAATTAGTCTCCTATTTTCCACTGTCGTGCAATCCATCATGCATTCATTATCTTTATCTTTTTCTATTATTTATCAAAAGTATATCTTTTATTTTCATAAGTATGTCATCTTTATCATTATAATGTTAATTAAGTAGTTATATTTTCTAGGTTATGCATTTTGTAAATGCAGTCAAATAATACTTTAAAATATTATTTTAACTTCATAAGACAGAAGGTGTTTGTTCTATTTGTAATTAATTATAATTTGACTTAATTTATAACTTTATTAATGAAATTATAAAATATAGATAATAAAAAGATCTATTTGATTCATGTTTTGAAAGAAAATCAATTAATTTTTACAACATCAAGTTAAATTATAAACAATCAACCGTGTAACATATAATAGCTTTTATATCGCATTATTGTCAAATTATTGATATATTAAGAATATCGTTAATTTTAAATAGATCGTATCAATTTGTATATCAATGTTTTGAAAATTCTTTTATAAAACTGTTTTACTGAGAGTTGATAAAATTTATTCGTAAGCGCCAAGAAGTATGATTGCATACTTTTAAACATAACCACAAAATGTGAGTCGTTTGATTTTGTAAACTTTAAATTAATAGAAGTAATTATATTAAAAATTATTGTAACAAAAATAAAATTAATTATATGAAATGGATAAAAGCGAAGAGGATTGGGCTGTTGAATGTTCTGATGATGAAAAGTATGAGGTTGACCCAAAGGTAAAGTAACAGAAATTCATGTATAATTATCAGAGAAAGGCTTGTTGTCGAGTGCACAATAAGATTTTACTCAAAAAAATGATTTTATATTAATCTAGAATGGCTGGATTCATAGCGCGGAGGATATAGTGTCTCTTATAGAAGGTTTAGAAAACAATGATCGAGTCTTAGAACTCGAATGGAAGTGTCCAGGAAGGCGTGAACCGTCTCCTGTAACTATGAATAATCATCAGCAGGATCTATTAAACGAGTATAAGTAAGACATTTTTGCAACTGATTAACTAAATATGACGACAAAAATAATACTAAAATTAAAAATGTTTTTTCCATGATAGTAGATATGTATTATTTAGTTATGTAATAAATTAGATATAATTAGTTTATAATGAATTGGTGTATAATTATTGTAGACAAATTTTGTAATTATATAAATTATGCATATTTTCAAGTTTAATTAATTTCATTGTTAATACAATTATGTTTTGTCAATTCATTATTGTATTTTAGAATAAGTATATTTTATAATACAAATATATATATTTCAGGCCAAAAGAAAAGTCAGATTTTGATTTTATGGATGAAATGTCTTCTCCAAGGTTACCGGTTCGAAGAGTTGGAGAAAGTACACCCAAAGGTAGTGCTAAGAAAAAAACTGCTAGTTTTAATGGAGTATTATCAACAATGCTTCGCCATCGTAGATTAGAGCAGCAGGAGATTAATTCAAGTCCTAAGAAGATAGAACCAAATTCACCAGGAATAAAGTCAGAAAACAAACATATATGTTAAATGTAATCGTTAAGTGAAGTGACATGATACAGTGAAAGTGAAAAGATACAGTGGAGTCACTGAGATACATGATAAAAATAACGAATGATGATCAACTATTTTTTTATCTATGAAAATGTTTTTTATTTCATTTTTTATAGTCTATAATGGAGATTGAAGACTATGATTACCTTTAACAGGTATTGCAGAATTATCCTCTGTGAGGATAAAAAATAATAAATATCTTCTTAAGACAATAGATTTCCTATCATTGTCAGTATAATTTTAAGTGTTATAAATCATTGAATCAAGGCTATTTTTTGTTTGTAAAAACAATCTTTATTAAATACAATATTGTGAACGTTTATTCATTAGGAACTATGTTACTTTACAAAATTTTATATTGTTTTTTTTTTTTATTTATTTTTTTTTTTAACGAGTTACAAAGTATATAAAAAATAAATTTGCTTAATTAAACTAAGATCACTGATTAACATAATACAATATTTTAATTACATATTAACAGTGCATATTTTTAATTGGGTCCATTTCTGGATTAGCCCAATCTGGAAAACCACTTATTTTATATATATATACACCATAAGTTGGAAACATTATTATTAGAACAATGAGACTGTAAATAGTTGAACCACATCCAGTGAACATAAGATTCGTTACTGGTATATGTCCTGCCATGGTAACAATAGCATTTGGTGGTGTACCAAATGGTAAACGAAATGCATACGAACATATGATAGTCGATGGGATCATCAAATACAGCGGATCTATTTTGATTGATACACTCTGAATAAAGCAAACAGTATATTAATAAAACAGTGTCTTTTTAATATTATAAAGTACAGTATGTAGGCTAAGCTTATGAATTACTGATTTCAAGTATTAATTTTAAAATTTGTATTTTAAAGGGCAAAATTTTTTTAAACACCAGATGCATTAAAATCGTATTTTTCAATGTAAGGAAAATATTTACCATTTGAGCTATAACGGGTAGCACTATATTTGCAATTCCAATGTTAGATGTGAATTCTGTGATGCTACTTATGAAAAGTAAAGTTAAAAATAAGACCAGAATTGGTGGATAATTCTTCAGTGGAATTAATAATTGTCCTACTTTTTTTGCAAGGCAAGATGTATTGCTACCTTTGGATATAGCAAAACCGCTACCAAGTAAAAACATTAAACTCCATGGCATTTTTGATTCAATCATTTTCCATGTAATTAAGCCCTCAGACGATGTTATAGGTCTCTTATTTGCTAGAATAAAATAAGAAATACTATAGGTTTAAGATTTTATAAAAAATTATTTTATAAATTTTATAATCGTTTGTATTGATTAAGAAACAGAGTTTATTAAGATTGAATAACTTATTCTATTAAATACATTTTGATTTTAATTGATATTGAAACCCTATAGAAATCAATATTTCAATATTTCATACATATATACATACATACATACATATATATATATATATATATATATATATATATATTAAGAATTCCGTAGTTTTATGTCAATTATAACTTGTAAATTATACATGACAATTATTTGTCTTTACGTAGAGAGTCGTTTGTGTAAAACCAGTGATAGTAACAATAATTTCTTATTTATAGAAAATCTATGCTCCGATTACCTAGATTTAACTTTTTATTTTCGATTACAATATGACTCTTAATTTAAAAATAAGCTTATTTTATTTATCATACATACGTTCTTCTTGAATTTGCTGTTACTTTATTATTATTTCATTACTATTACTCTACTATTACTGTACTATTACTATTGGGAATATTTACCATCTTTATGGAAGGCATTGAGAAATCTTGGCTCCTTCGGCACCACGAACATGAGAATCACAATTAACAACACGGGTGCTGAGTCCTTGATTGTTCTGTGATTAAATAATATGGATTATTCGTACCATGAGATGCTCGCTAGGTGTTTCGTAGATGAAAAATCTTACGTATTGTCTATTAAATCTGACCAACCCATTATGAATCCGGGCTTTCGAAAGAACCAGAGTAATGCGCATAAAAAGAATAAAAAGCTCACCGCATGTTCGTGCCAACTCATTTTTCCTAAACTATTGTACTTCTCCTCGATGACCTGTCAATTTTTATTTACAATGATTAATATGTTTATCCAATCATTTTTCATAGTTATTACATTTTTGTCTTTAATTTTCAGAAAATTACAGTATAAATCAATAACTATTATACATCGCAATGAATAAAAATTGAATACATTGAATATAAAAATGTTTTGAAATAATTTAAAAATACAATTGTTTACCCATAAAGTGCGTTCATAGACACTTTATTTTGAATTTATGTTTAAATTGTTAGTTCGAAGACAGAAAAAAAAAATAAAAATAGCGTATAACTTTGAAAATTAAAATCCTAATCAATTATTTGTACAGTACTAAAGGGACAAGGAACTTGTTAAATAAGAAAAGAGTGCTACATAAAAGTGCTCGGAAAATTAAAAAGAAATACGAGACCTCGTATTTTTAATTATAGTCGATGAACAAATCGGGTATTTTTTATTCGGCAAGCAAGTGGTAAGTAGTGAATATTTTGTATAAGTTGTATGTCAGTAAAGAATCGAACCGATAATCAAGTAAATATTTTCTTCGAAAAGTTATTTCCACCTCTATGTATATTCTGCGATTTATCGTATATGACATTTAACAACATAACGAAATTGAATAATGCGCCCTCAATAAGATTGGAAAATTATTTCTAGCATTATTAAGCTTTAAGTAATTACGTTTCAGTTCGGCCAAAACTTTTAAAATGGATTAATAGAGACAATACGATAAAATAATCTCTGTATTATGTGTTTATTGTCGAGAGAATCTTTCTTTCTTTCTTTCTTTCTTTCTTTCGTTCTATCGTTCGTTCTTTCTTTCTTTCTTTCTTTCTTTCTTTCTTTCTTTCTTTCTTTCTAAATTTCGGTATTAATATATTAGAGGGATATTTTTTCATTTATCCGACGGTTAACATATTCAATCTTATAATAGTTAAGGATTAAAGGAGAAGTAGGTTTGGCTGACTCGATTAGCGATATATTGGCCCTCGATGCCTATCCTTGCTTCCTGGGCGTCCTTGCTATTTGGCCTAAACAATCCCATGTATATGGTGAGCATGTATAAGTAGGTGATGAATATTTGAACGATAGCCTGTGGCGTGCCGAATATCATCCACCGGGTAAAACTGATGCCATCGTACCGCGGGAAAAAGGTTTCGAATATACCCTTGAAGGTCAAGTTGGTACCAGTACCAACCAAGGTCGTCGTACCACCAAAGGTCGCCGAATACGCAGTAGCGAGGAGGTAAGCTTTCGTTATCTTCGACGGACGTTTGTCACTGTATTATTGAAATTTAGTTAATAAAATGACAAAAAAAAAAAAAAAAAAAAAAAAAAAAAAAAACAATCAAGTTAGAATAATCGTTAATTCATACTTTTCTGGATCATCGGAATTTTCTTTTACGATGAAGACTTTTGTTAAACCTTCCTGCAATACGAAATATGCAATTTGTATCGTTAGAATTATTTAAAGGGATCGATTAAAAATTTGTTTCGCTTCAATATCACGTAACGCATTATTTATTTAACTAAGAATAATTTTACAAAGTAATTACGACTTGCTTATTAAAAGTGATGTGAATCTTAATGTAATTAATATAATAATGGGTCGAAAGTTTGTTTGAATTATTGAGATTTTTACAGTGGGCTTTCACTAAATGTACTATTTTTAAAAGAAAAATATTGTACTATTATTGTGACGTTAGAACTTGAAATATCAGTAGTTGATATTTTACTTACAATTGAGGGAATTTTATTAATTGCCTTATGCATATAATTAATATTGCTAATGTTCTCTCATTCCATGTAATAATTAGTTAATCGAGTTCTTATTAAAGGGCACGAATGTTTCATATTTTAATATAAAAAGTCCGTCGCCGGAAGGGTGATGAAATGGCAATCTTACGTCAGGTGTCCGGATCTAGATTTTTAAAGCCGAGCTCCGACGGCATGCAATGCAATGTAAAGAAAATAAAAGTGACGAGGATAAAAAATTCTGGACCTTTTCCAGCTCTTGCAGAACGGTAAAGATGATGGGTACCATCAAGGCGGTACAGGCACTGTTCGATATCCACATGCCGAGCAGAGTTGTGACTACGAGGAGGCCGGCGAGAAGTCTCCTATGGCTGCAGCCGACAAACTTCATCACTCCCAGGGCGATGCGCATATGAAGTTTTGAGTTCTCGATGGCGATGGCGACGACAAGCCCACCGAAGAACACCATTATCGTGTCGTTCATGTAGCAGATGCAAGTCTCTTGGCTGCTGAGAACGTTGAGGGCTGGGAAGAGGACCAATGGTATCAGGGAGGTGATGCCCATCGGCAGGGCTTCCGTTACCCAGAACATGGCCATTAGTAGTATAACGATTCCGCATCTCATCTCCTGTTGCGAGGATCGATAATAATTAAACTTCTCAGTGGCGCTTGCAATGCTGATATTCTAATTACGGAGCATATTGAGTCGAAGGCAATGACCGGTAGAAAGAGATCGTGAAATCGCTTTATTTATGTTTATGTTAAGCGTTGAGAGAGATTTAAATGTCTTAATTATTCAGATGATGACAAACATTTGAGTAACGCTGCTTTGTAATTGTTAGGATGATTTCAGTTTAGGAATAATCTTACGTATATTATATTTAAAAAAATATCTATTAATGAATAAATTCTTTATCATCTATTTAGAGTGCTTTATTTGGAGTTTGCGTACATAATTTGCCATTAATAATTTTAATTTTAACTGTTTTTCTCATTTTATTTAATTTCTACATCAACAATGATTATTGTTATTAATTATTTATTACGATTCTTATAATTTAATAATATTGTCATTATTATTTATTTGTATTATAAAAAAGAAAGGTTTAAAATATTGACAGAAGGATCAGAGTCAATTTAAAAATCGACAGTTATTACTCTAGATTTACCGTAAAATTAAATTTTATAAATATTTAATTAAAAGCGTATTATAAAAGTATAAGTTACTTACAAAGTAAGTTTTCTATTATATTTTTTCATAAATTTACATTATTAGTAGTCAAGATTTGCTCTTATATACTCCATTAGATGAAATTAGTAGTTTAATTTACTCTCAGTTCAAATAGTAATAAATATTAAATTTTTAAAAATCTTCTTTTAAATATTTTTTCATCCCATTTTCGCTACAATATTTTATATAAATGTATATATATATATATATATATATATATATAATATTACTAAAATATATATATATATATATATATATATATATATATACATAGATTAATTCTTTATGTTTTAATTCTTATTAATTATGTTAATTAATATAAATAAGTAAGAATCATTTAAACAATAAGTTTTTAATTATTACCGGAGAATCGTAAGTAATCAGCACGGGAATAAGCACCAATGGCCAAATAATAATGATTAGGGTCTTCCAATATATTTTTACAAATTGTAATAATTTTTTATGGAATGGCTTATTGTCAATATTGGATCTGTAAAATATAGAACTTGTTATTTTCAATTGATGGCTACCTGAATATTATTGAAAATTAAACACGAACGGAGTTGATATATTTACTTCCAAGTTACTCATTTTCACATTCAACTTAAACTTTTATTTATATTTAAAAAAAAATTAAACAGAAACACACATTTAATACGAAGTATTTTAAAATTTTTGTTTAATTAACACGAGACTGTAATGATAACGACATCGATGCTAAAACATTAAAATCAAATGAAAATCGTGGATATTCTTTTATTTATTTACATATATATATATATATATATATATATATATATATATATATATATATATATATGTAATATATATTTATATATTATTTATTTTGATTTTTATGTATATATATGTAATAAGTATAATAATAATAGCGACAATAATTATTAACAATTTGATAATTTGCAAAAACTAATTTTACATCTGATTAAATAATAATAAATCATTATATTATTACTACTGCTATTATTATTATTATTATTATCGTAATCTTTATGGTCATTATGGCATACATAATTAAGTAAAATGTTTAAAATTATTAATTGTTGCCAGATCTTATAAAAAATAATATAGCCTGCAGTATAAATGAATTTGTATTTAAATAATAATTAAATTTTAAATGTAAATCATTCGTTCAAACTTCGCTCGTGTGATATGTACTTTGAAAACGTTATTTTGGTTTACCATCAAGACCTGCTTTCAAAATTATAGAATTTTTCAAAGCTTATTATACTAATACTTAAATTTCAATTTAAATTCTGTTGATTTATTGACTAATGGTATTCATTTGTAGGCTTGTCCAGTGATAAAAAGTATAAAATAAAAATAAAACACGCAATAGCTGACAATAATAATGACCCTCTGCAGTATGACTCAATTACAATCTCCAGGAATTCTAGTATAAACTTTGGCATGAATAGTGTTTTACAGTAGCATTGATTTTTCGAGATATATATGGTTTTGTATAAGACATAATGTTTTACGTGTAATTTTAAAGTAAATTAATTACAGCCGTTAATAACATCGTACATTAATAATATTATAATAAAAATAAACTTTCATTCGCTTTATATATATATATATATATATATATATTAACGTAGAGACGAAAAAAGTTGATTTTTGCAAGGGAGTAAAAACTTTTGTACTACGGCGTATCTCGTTTAGGCATCGACTTCTTTCCATTCTCTTTTGTATTTTACTTGGTTGAGGCTTTTCGAAAATTTCATCTCCACATACCCTACATTTTTCATTCTCATAAGGGCATGCATGACTCATGCGAGTCCATTGTTTCAATTTTCATGTTAAACAACATTATACCAAACAAAATTATAAAATTATAAACAGTGACAGTGATATGAGAATGGAGGTATATCATGAACGTTATGATCTTACAAATATATATTTCATTGTACAATTTATCGAACAAATACTATATAATATTGTACTTATATAATTTAATGTCGATTTGAAATAGTATTATCATTATTCATGATTATTACAATTTTATCTTTATCGAAGATTAAAAATGTTTTTTTTTTCTTTTTTTTTTTTAATCGCAGCTAATTTTGATAAAAATAAAATTAGTAGATATTTATGTTATTGAATTTATTTCCAGTCGGTCTTTTCTTCCCTTATCATAGGTAAATTGTTTGCTCGAACTTCTCTTTAGTTCTCCCCCATTTACGTGAAACAATAAAAGCCTTTTAAAGTGAAATTTAGGGATGCGCGTTTACTATTAAATTATAAAAATTATAAGTTATAAAGATATTAAGAATAACATTACCGGGAGATAAATTTGAAAAATCACATTATACTCTCCACGGTCTTTTCTCTGCCGCAGCATTGTAACATTAAAGATATTGGCGATATCGAGTTTCATTGTAAATAACTAGTAAACATATTTGTATGTGTTTGTCGAAGCTTTTCCTTCATCTTTTCTTTTATCTCTTCATTTTTCTTATATTAATGAAGAAAATAATTAGCAGATACAATGCGTATAAAGATTATCGTGCGTATCGAAAGATCGAAAAATTTGAGCGTTCGCTAATCCGTAGAGAACGATCGAGTTCCAGTGTCAGTATTATTTCATTGGTATTCGTAAGAATCGGACAATAAAATGTCGAGCTCACGAAGGAGAGAGGCATGTTGGAGGGAGTAGGGGAGAAAGCGGCCCCGGATCGACGGGCCACGGGCAAAAGCCCCACGTCCGCGGCACCGTAGGCACATCGGTGGGGATAGCCGCACGAGGTCGACGTCAACGGCCAGTCCAGGGTGCGCGCGCGCACCCGGTGGGGGCGGTCTTCGAAGTTTGTTGTTACTCGTCCCGTTAGTCCTGTCGAGACGAATCCAGCGGGAGGACACCGAGGCTCCGTCGCTAGCGCCACACGAGACAGAGGCTCCGCGTGAGTATAGCCGGTTACCCCACAAAATAATCCCCTCCAATGCCGTTCTCCAGCCACCCTCGCTTGCCTCGCTCCCCGCGGCCGTGTAGGTTAGATTGCGTTGGGATAGCGCGGGTCGGAAGGAAGGGCGAGACTTTGGCATCGATTGTACTGCGGGGAGCCGTCGACGGTCGGGCGGCTGGCTAGGGGGTGGCGGGAATATGCGGCTGTGGCAGATGCACAGGTGAAGGGACGGGGTCGGCATCGATTCCCGTGCTCCATCCCTTAAATATCGATCACAGTCACGAATGCGCGATAATCATTAGCGAAGGAGGTTTGCGCGGGGGGGGGGGGGTGGGGGGCGAGGACGATAAGGACGGCGGTGGCCACAGCAGCAGCAGCAGCAGCGGTAGCGGTAGTGGGGTGGGGTGGGGTGGGGTGGGAGTTTGCGCACGCAGCCAAAATCGGGCGAAATTCCGCGCCTCCCTTTAAGCGCGTTCATTCGAACGGGGCAACGCGAACTCGTCGGCGGACTTCTCTTCGAGCTCATCCCCGGGACAGCGGTGATACACCTGCACACAGGTAATTGTCAATACGATAGCGAACGGTGCCTGGAGCTTTAAAATATTTCTATTAACTTTATGTAGTTTTCGTGCCTTTATAGTAACGTAAAAAAGATGAATTTCTTTCTCCCCGTACGATTAGATTATCGCATACGTGATCGACATTTATTAATGAATCTCGCCGATAAGATGAATTATTGGATCGCGGCTATATTAAAATGTTAAACGATGTGGTTATATTTAAGGCAGCTGAATAAAGCATTGGCAATGTCAATTTAATATTTTCGGTCGTTGTATTTATGAAGCAATAATTACTGAAATTCATCCCCATGTCCTAGATAATAGCTTGTATGTACAAAATTTGGCGCAACTTAATTAACGACCATTGCAAAGCACTGTGCGGCTGTGAGTGTAGGTGGTGTTGCGAGGCACCGAGTTTATACGAGAGATATAATGCTTTGCGATATAGAAGCGAAGTGTAAGATTTTGTTTATTGATGCGATAGCCGTAACTAGCGATTATCGAGCAAATTTTGTGTAACAGACGAGAGGCAAGTGTTATGAGAATCGGTTGCCAGGAAACATGGGCTGTCCAAATCCTTTCGAGTCTTAAAAATTCTTCAGTCCCGCAAGAAGATTATTATCCTTCCAGCTTCTTTTTCACGTGCATGTACCCATGTTATTTGCATGGTTTATTTATCTCTAGAGAAATAGCTTAGCTGGTGCTCGAGAGTACGTCACAATTTGTCCCCCTTTAGCAATCGTTGGGCCAACATCGAACTTTCTTATCATTTAAAATTCACAAGGACTAATTGGCTTTTAATCGTCGATTATCAAATGTCACGCGCCCCTAATGCGACAAAGGTGACGCGATACATTGCCCGCGTCGAGCGCTACCCTACTCACCCGCAGGACCGAGCTACGGATAAAAGGACGAATGATGTGGATATATATATATATATATATATATATATATATATATGCGCGCGCGCGCGAGTGTGTGTGTGTGTGTGTGTGCGCGCGCGAACGGACGTGCCCTAGTAAACTGGCACGTATCCTGTCACGATTTTACGCCATTAGCAATCGCGAGAGCCAGCCAGGCTATTATTACGTAAGAAATCCGTGGTTTTGTAAAGGGAGGAAATTTGCCAACGTCGTCGGGGCTTATGGTAGTTGGCCGTTGATATGAGCCTATTTGACAGGTTGAAGAGGAGAGTAAGGTGAGGCGATTAAATAAAAGAGCCGGCGAGTCGATCGGAGCCCCCCCGGATCATCGAGCGGGACACATCATTAATGAGCAGCTAATTAATGCCCGTTCGCCCGCCCGTCCACCCCAGCCCAATGCCCAGCAGAATGTGGGGCAGAGCAAATATGGCGGCTGTGACCCAGCTCCTTCTCCTTGGCATCTGGATTTGCATCTTCGCTCAGGGTGAGTGCACTAATCGCGCAAGGGACGCTATACGCTCGCAATATGTCGAGCTTGCGAGCGTTGGCGCGCTTTTTATATGGAAATGCGTGAAAAGCGGCGCTGCGAGCGTTTGCGCTGACCGTTGTTGACGATTCTTGGCGCCGGTCGAGGGCAGCCTAAACGCGGGACGTTTATTCGCTTATCGATCTCCCGGAATCGGGGCTAACAAGAAAATAATAGCGTCACCTTATCGACCCTGCGACGATTTTCATTACGGCAAACATAATAATGGTCGTTTATTATTTTATTATCTTGTTTGGACGCTCGTATCTTGTTCGGACGTATATAGGCTGATAAGCTCGATGGGAAGTGTATCGTATATGCAGGACCCATTCTGCGAATTGAAGATAAATATTAAGAAAAAGTCTTGCTCCTCGCCTCGAAGCCACCAAGGGAGCTAACTTTTTACTCTATTATTTGTAAGCTTCAATTTCTTTCCCTCTCGCTTTGGTAAAAAATATTTATCACCCGCGCTCTAGAATATGTAAGAGGTATCTTTTTTTCTTTTCATTTCTCTCTCTCTCTCTCTCTCTCTCTCTTTCATTCTTTTTTTATCTTTCTTTTTTATTTTTTATTTTTTTTTTTTTATTTTCGTTTTTATCGATTTTCTGGCCTCTCGCATACTCATTGTTGTCTGCGCGCGGAGCAGTCGAGTAATATTTCCCCCTCGTGGAAAAAGAATTTGCACCACTCGCCGCCTGCTTAGAAATAGCGTAGATGCTGCCGTGCGCGAAAATATATTTTCAACTTATAATAGAATGAGCGATCCGGGACGTCGAGCGACTAAACATTAAGCGCTCGCCAAAATAGCATCTTTAACATCGAAAAAGCGAAAGAGTGAAACAACACATTACATTATCATTAATAAAGTAATATTACGTTTAATGATGCGCTGTGGCGAAACTTTTCACGTTGCCCGAACGCTTATTACGTGGATCTCGCACTCAAGCGAAATAACTTGCCTATGGATTTTGTGTATCGCGAGCGCGCGGATCGCATTTTAAATTGACTCTCGACACGATTCTGACAGTGGAATTTGATCCGACATTCGACGTGCAAAATAATCTTGCGATTAATTAACGAACGCGTTGCAGAAGTTGAGAGGCAAGTCGATGGGTAAACCGTTGTCGCGCTCTGGAAATATGTCGTAGGTAGGCGCTATGAGCGCGTCCCTCGCTGAGAGAGAGAGAGAGAGAGAGAGAGAGAGAGAGAGAGAGAGGAAAAGGAGGACGGTATTTTTCGCTCGGGGATGGGAGTGGGGTGGGTGGGTTGGGCTCTCGAGAACGAGGACGCGCCAGATGGAGAAAAAAAGGTGATATTAAAAAGCTGATTGCAGGCTGGGAATGGGAAGGAGATGTGGCAGCACGTGCGATCATTAAAAATAATAAGTATCGGGGAACGTTCGATGCGCGTCTATTTTACGACTCATTAGTGGTTCGAATTTGCGTGTAATCGTGGTCACTGCCACCCTCTCTTGTATCCGATATTTAACGCTATTAAAGCTCGGTTTTTACTGTTTAGCGCAGGATGCGGATCCTTGGGACCGCTTCCTCCCGTCTTGGATAATCTAGTAAGGAGAGGGAACGATCGGCGATGAAAGATTATATCTCCGTAACGTGAAAATTTATGCGCATTAAAAAATTTGTCCACACTATCCGTGCTTAAGAGCTACAAGTCGAGCTTTATTGAACCTCCCAACAATTGCTACACGTTGTTCTATTTCTGTTTTCGATGTTAGGCGATATTTCGTCGCCCCTCCACGGTACTACACTGTTGCCCTTTCCCTTGGCATTGAGAAACAGTCGCGCGATACCAGGGCGACAAACAAAAATTTATAAACATACGCTGGAATAGGAATTATTATCATTGGTCGCGATTTATTTTAATCATTATCACGCGAAGAGTTAAAATATCGAAATGAATTCGGTAATACGTTTGTTTCATTAGCGCTACGACTGCGCCTACATTTTCAAAATCACTTGTCATTGATTTTTGTAAAGAGGATTAAAACTTTAGATTTGCTAAATCTAACGATTATGGTATCATTATTATTATAATAATTGTTTAGTTAAACAAAGTATCTTGCATTACCCGCATTTCAAGTTTTATCCCGTCTCTTATGTTTTTTGCCATCAGCCTTTATTGAATAATGTCAATGAGTCGTGTACACTAAGAGCTCGTGGCAGTAAAAGATTTGCCTAATGTTTCACAACGCGTTTTTTTCTTTTCTTTTTTTTTTTAAATTTTATCCATCAGTCAATGAGACTAAAAGTAAGGGTGAAATATAGGAATTGGATTAATAAAAAATATTAGAATCGGGGCTAAACAATTATTGTGTAAACATATTTTTAACTCGCCGTAAATTTCTAACTTTTCTTTTCACGTATCATAAGCTCTAAAGCTAATGTATTTCTTCTCTATATGATATACGAGTAAAAATATATGCTTTATTTTAGCAACAATAGTAGCTGGGAAACAAAAATGATTAAAATACCATAATTAATAAAATACATTTTATTCAAACATCTTGAAAGAATCTGTCAGCGTTGTCCGGCACACTAAACTACATAAGGAAAGTGAATTTAGAATAGATAGTGGAATTTATAAAATTGATGAATAATTGAACAAAAAAAAAAAAAAAAAAAAAACAATAATCAATTTGTATCAATTTGATCAAAAAAAGTTTTTGTTGCAAAGATTTTTAAAGTATCTTCAAGTCGCGTATAAATAAATTTTGCAAATATGAAATTTCTCTTCTCGTCGTATTTTTCGCATTAAAAAATCTTCGTTATTCTAAATTATATCAATTGTTTATATCGCAGTATCCTATCATATTTTAGATATTCATTACTTAAAATCACGAATTAACTTATTTATCGCGACATTTTCAACGCCCAACTAACTACCTTATTTCAGTTGCAATTTCAAGAAAAAAAAAAAAAAAAAAAATGCCAACTTAAAAACTGGCGATGCTTTTCCAATATTTATCATCGTATTTTTTTCAGTTACATTGCCTATTAGATCGAAATTCGTCCGGCGTATGAAATTTTAAAAATTTTTAAAACACCTTAGGCCATGTCGCTGAAATGACTTTTGGCTAAATTAAACAAATTTTTTGTGCAATATTTTCTCCAACGACGATATTACTTCATCACTCCGACTCATCTTTGAATCACAGGAGCATAATATATTTTATTACCTACTTAAATAAACTTTAACTCAGAAGGTAAAAACTTCCGTTCGAAAGTAAATCACGATTACAGAAAGTTCGGCATTTGTATTTGACAGGGCGAATTCCGATCGAACCAAAGTCGTTTAGCTATTTCTGTTAAAGTAATTAAAAGAACGAATGAAAGGGAAGAAAAAAGGAAGAGCTAAGCCCTTGCTACCGACCCCATTTTCTCGGCCTTCTGGAAAATGTCGTGTCCCGGCAGCCCGCCACGCAACGAATGCTAATACGAGAATACGAGAATAAATGTAACGATCCGGGGCATCAGGTGCCGAGGGATCTAGTGAGCCGAAGCGACCCGAGGCGACGACGATACTAGATCGCGCAATTTCCTGGCTATGGAGTCAGAGGGACAAGGACGCCGGCTGGGCCGAGGACACCCAGCGCGTCCTCTTGGCGCTTAGGCTCGCCAACCTGTCACGCGACGACGACATTCCGCCATCCGTCGACCTCGAGATGCAGCTCAGCACCAAGCAGATGGAGCTGGAAATCGTCATGCTGTTGTGGAGGTAAGGAAAATGAACTTCTCAATGAGCCTCGGACAAATTCTATTCACATCCAAGTGTTAGAAAATTATTGACTCTGAGGATTTGGCAAGATTTTCACAATCGGATTATTATTTTATAATGCATCTGACAAGCTTGGAGAATTATTAATTTGCACTACTATGATAAATATAATGAAGTAAGGGGAAGAAATTTGGTGGTATGCGAAGCTACTTGTGTTTAAGGTTGATGGAACAATCATCCCATTTTATTTATACTTATTACATACACACACACACACACACACACGCACGCATATACATATACTCCCTTTTAAATGGCAATCTGATAATACATTTTTTTCTAATTTAATTTATTATTCGTTCTGATCTTTGATTTCGCTCTTACATTGGGCAACTGTTCGACAGTTTCAATCACTCCTGACTTATAGAACTCGGAAGATTCTAAATTTTCCAAAATTGCTCAATTCTATTTTACGGCCTGCGAATTTCTGTACGATAAAGTATTTCGTAATTTAAACTGTCGATTCTCCGTCTCATAATGAATTGTAATGTATTTTACCAAACTTTTACCACTACCTTGAATTCGCTTTTATAAAGTTTCATTGTACTTGTTGAAATTGAATGCGAAATCACCGTGGCATTCACATTAATTTGTTTATTGTTTGTTACGATATAAAAGCATTCGTTTAATTACTCGCTAGCCACTACAAAAAAAGAGAGCTATGCAAATGTGCGATTTATTGCTCCTCGAACATTGAAAATAGGCTTTTCCGTAAATGTGAGAATAATTTTTTATCGTACAATATTAAAAAAAAAAAACAAAAAAAAAAAAAAAAAAAAAAAACAAAACAAAAAGAAAACTTAAATTAAAACATTATTTTAAAAATAAACTCACGTTATTTAAACAACCTTAATTACATTAAATAGCATATATTCCGACTAGAAAGGATGTTGGAAAATGTTTAACGAACATAGTGAATACGTAAAACTTTGAAATTTATGTTTTATTGTTTAATTATATTTGCTGAGTGGTAGAGCATAATTGCTTTTTGAAAAAGCATTTGAAAATGAAACAATTTTTATACTTAATAATAGTATAGATAGTAATGTTTGTAACCATAATAATAAATTACATTTTAATATCAAGACCGAACAATTCTTTCCATCTTCGATAGATTTTAGTGAAGTTGTATTGTAACTCTTGAAATTACATTGATGTCGAACAAAATTCAAATAATAGTCTATCTTACATAAATATGCTTTAAAAGATTAAATTGTATATTTCCTAAAATTAAAATAAATCTTTAACTAATAATTATAATAACGCTACTTAATTTTTAAAGATATTTTAAAGTGGGTTATATCCTAAATATCTGTTAAGTGTTTAATATGGCTTTTGTTTGTTTCTGATTTGAATTTGTATTTGTAATTTTTTAATTTCTTTCTAAATCTTTGTATCTATGTAATCTTTTTAATTTACCGCGGAACGCTGCAAATTGCATAAAGAATTGATATACAAAGTACAAGATTTTCTAAATAATCTATTTTTTTTTTTTTTTTTTTTTTGATTTTATAAGAAATTTAATATTTGTATAATAATCAGCCTTTTTATGTACACATGAGAGTATTTTTTCAGCTGAATATATCTAATTAAAGACGTGATAACTTTTTTAAATACCGCAATTTGATTTGTTAAAGGACACATCGATACTTTCCCTAAAGGCTTTCATTATACATAAATACGGATGACAGGAGCATACGGACAAAATCTAATCTTTCTTCAAATGGATTTACTCTTCTTTTAATTACAATACTCCTCGATTCCTATGTGTACTCGTACGTAAATCATTTTATATAAAAGCATTGAACAATGACGTGATTTATAATACCGGCGATCTTGTATTTTATTTAAGATTTTTATTTTTAATGGAATTCCATAATATAATGGCCTTAATTTGAAACAATTTTAAATCTTAAATATATCAGTAGTCGCAATTTCTCAACCTGAGCTTCGTCGATGTAATTTATTTTAATAAGTGAGCGAAGATATTTTAAGAATATAATAAAACAGTCGGATGTGTTTGAAGTTATGCTTGTTGAAGTAACCGTTGCTTCGTGCTTATCAAACGGAGATCCTAAGGCTTTTACGGGTCGCCTAATGCCGGGGAAATTAATATTTGATTATGTCCCTAAGTCCCGGTAGTTTAAGTCTAATGGTTAATGCCACGCGAGCAATTCGCCCGAAAGTACAGGCTTAAAGGAACTAAAAAGTACGGCTGTTACTATAAGATGGAGATGTCTGGGGATGAGTTGTATCCTTTTTAAGTAATGCGATAACATCCGGAGCTTTGTGTAAGACGACCTAAATTGGCGTTTGGCTCTGCGCAGACACCGGGAAATGGGGAGCTCGCCGGTCAGGTTGGCCCGCTATAGTCTCGCCCTTAACGCCATGTGCATGGATCCGCGGCAATTCCACGGCCACGACCTCATCGGGACACTGCTGCATCACGAGCCGCCGACCGACTATGAGTTCGCCCTGACTGCCTTGGCTGCGTGTAGCGCGCAGGCGCACGTCAGGAAGAGGCAGATGCGACGACTGCTCGACATCGCGCATGCAGCCCAGGATCACGATGTCGGTGAGAGAGAGTTTATTTTGTCGATGACAGAGGGTGGGATGGAGGGTTGGCGGTTGGTTGGTTGGTTGGCGGGGGGTGGGCGGGATACATCGAGTCATGATTGAGGATGTCCCACGGGGGTGCCTTAATACGTGCCTCGGTAAATGACTTTCTCTTAGTTCGTAAAAGCTGGATTACCTTTTGTCATACTGATTAGACGACGTAGGGAGCGCGGGGAATGCATCGTATCTCATTTTTCCCTACCCGAGCACGTGACTGCAAAAC